GTATGATGCTGTTACTGCAGATGTTACCTACTATTTGTTACTTTTTTTATGCTACCTATCAACGTTATATTTTTTTAATAGGTAGGCCCAATTATTTGAGGATAACACATAAAAATGATATTTGTGTGTGCGGTTTTCCACCAAAATGAATTTCTCATTTTACCAATAACCGCGGTTCCACCAAAGCGTGCAGATATACTGCCTAATTTCTAAACCACCAAATAAAAAAACCACAACCCTTTCGTTAAATATACTTTTATTCAAACTTCAACAAACCACTCGACCTATGGCTATAATATATATGTTTCACATCCTCCTCGAACAAAACGGTTAAAAAAAAAAAAAGGATCATATACAAATACTTAAACTTTTCCGACTCAACGGCATAGTTACTTGTTTAATTAAAAAAAAAATACCACGGTTTTTGAAACGTCCATTTTAGAGCAAAACGACACGATATTCTTGTTTACCGGGAGAACCGGCGCACAAAGAGCTTTGTTTGTTCGCAATGACGCACGTAGCCTACGTGACGCAAGAATAATGACAATGTGCTCTCGACAACTACAAAAAATACTCAGACGAAACTTTGAATCCAAGTACGGGAAGCCGCGAGTTGTGGCGACTTTTGATGAGATTCCGGCTGAACGAGAATGAAGTTCGCGTAAAACTCTTCCGACCAGTGCCGTAACAATAGACTATAGAGGTTAGCGAAATGGGCGATTAACAAGGGACGCAAAGTTGGGGGGGGCACATTTAAGATGATTAAATTGTAGTGGATACATATAAATTATTATTGATTCAGTTTGTAGTAGAAAATTATACTTGTTACTAAGCATTAGAACAGAGGATTTTAAGGGTTTTTGACCCGAGCAGCAGATATTTGGGGGACGACCGGATACCGGAATACTATATGAAAAATTTAAAACTTTTTGACCTTTGGCTTAGGAAATTTATAAAGACAAAAAAATATCAACTTCAAAAAAAACAAAGATTGATTTGTATTTATATGATTTGTTCTCCAAATCTACACATCAAGATTTCACGTGACAACATCATGGCAATGGGGCATCCAGCGAACACGAAATATTTTATTACCTATATAGATATAAACGTTCCAGTGGATTGATTTTTGAACAAAATGAATAAACACTTAACAGCCAGTTCGGACTGTTGCGTGCATACGTGTGTTTCGTTTCGTGTAATCGTTTATACGTAATTACATTCAGTTTTTTTAGATTCTAACTGAGTGTAACGAAGAATGTATTAGAGTTTTACAAAGACGCTTATTTTTTTATTTTTTTTATTATTATTATTTATGTAAACACCGTTTCTACCAGAAAGCTTACTCCGATGTTATTATTAATGAAAATATATAATGCCTATTTAATTATTTTACCATAATATGACGTATATATTGTTAACAAAGCATCACTATCAACTGAACTCTACTCAGAATCGTTTTTAGTAAGCAGCGGCGGTTTTAAAAATTTTTTCTGGAAGAAGTGGGGGGTCCAGTAATATATTACCTATAAATTTAACATAAACAAATATTTCCCATTAATCATGGATTAATTTAAATTGCCCAACTTTCACTGTCAGATAAAATAATTTTTTTTTTTTACTTACGTAATTCAATCTAACCTATGTTTTACTACATAATTCAAAAGCTGTCCTAAGACAATAGGGACGAGTGCAGTCACAGATATAGGTAATTTAATGTTTAACTATAAACAACGATTAACTATTGCTAATGAAAAAACGATTCTGAGCGGAATTTGGTTGATAGTGTCACTTTGTCAAGAATATAATAGGTATATATCATATTATAGTAAAATAATTACATATGCATTACCTATATAGTTTCTTTAATATTATTTGTTTAATATTGTACCTATTTTCCCGTTTTTCCCATTTATTGGGAATTTATTATATTATTGTATTATTCATTAACAATATAATATTTTTAGTAATGTATATATGACGTATTTAAAAAAAGAATTATAACTCGTATTAATATGCAAATTATTTTCGTTTTTTTTTTAATTTACAATGACAAACTAATTTAAAGTTTAAACTCGGAGTCTGGGGGGGTCCAGATCCACTGAACTCTCCCGTAAATCACCACTGTTAGTAAAAAATTGTTTATCGTTGCTTACAGATTAATTTCCCCTCTACATCCTACCTTCCCAGCTTCTCACCAAGAACACTAGCTGCATCCATCCTGCGAAGTTTGTCCATCATTTTGGTTTTAAAATTATTCATGTAACAGTATGACGATTTGATTTCAAAATTTTAATAAATAAAGCAACTTAATTGCGAATAGTCCAGAGTATCGATTTTTGGTTCATGATAACTTTGATTTTGTTTTGATTCACTTGTTGAATTAAGGAATATTGCAATGAAGACATTAAGTGGTTGTATTATAATAGTTTTAAGTAACTTTATTAGTAGTATATTTTTTCCTTAACTACTTACATATTGGGTATTTTTAATTTATTTACTGTTAAAGGCTTTGAAAAAAGATTTTCTCCAGGCATCCGAAAGTCTAAATCCGGCTCTGCACCAGAATATTATTCTGGTAAATTATTATTTAAGTTATTATTTAAATCGAAAGTATGTGTTAAAATTCACATACACGTAGTGACTAGATAATGTTTATTGGTTAGCATTTAGTGTTTGTACAATTAATTATTACAGCCTAATTTGTAAATATTACAAATCAACACTACCTATTAACCAAAATCCACTCAGAATCGTTTTTCGTTAGCAATGATTTATCGTTGCACACAGATATACATTAAATTTCCCCTCTACCTTCCCAACTTCTCACCTACAACAATGGTCCACCAATCGAACGAACTTTGTCCGTCTTTTTTAGTTTCTCTTTATTTAGTTAGGTACAATAAACATAGTTTTATTCATTTTCATTTAAATTATTAAAGTCTCTCTACAAAGTAGCTCCAATTAAAATACAAAACGTTTAAATCTTTAACAGTTAATTATTTTTCATTAGGTAAATTAGTTTTTAAGTGAATTTCATTTATTACACAATTCAATTAACTTATTGATATTTAAAGTGAAAAACTAAGTTCAGTTGCTTTTACTCATTCGCTACAAACATACTCATGAGATTCTCAGAATTTAATCGTTCAAGTACCTACCACCTCTGATTTCAATTTTTAATTATTTTAAAAATATGAAATGCAATAACTGGGCCAGTAAATCGGGAGAGTATTTGTATCATACACTACATGATAATTGCTACAAAATATGAATAGTAACCAGTTTTTAACGTATTTAAATACATTCAGTCCATTCAAAGCAATTTTAAGCGATTAAACTTTATATCCATGAGTTTTATAAACTGAATCCACTAAATAATAATGTATACTTGTGACTTATCATTAGTCAATTGATCAAAAATAGTTTTAAATATACCATAAATATAAAATTTGACAGAAACCTCAGTAAGACCACCAATAGTATACTTTTTTATTTTATAATAATGCCAAATATTATATTATTGTCCATCTGTCAGAGACTCGGATAGATTCTATTTTACTTTTCTCAAAGACTATCCTGACAAAAGAAAAAATTACATTTTTAGTTCTTATTTAAAAATATATTATAAAATAATAAATGTAAAAATAAAATAACAATTTTAATTAATAACCCCTCCTTGGCCACAAAATACATTTTATACATATATAAATATAAAAAAAAAATTATATAATTACATAACACAGAAATATCTTTGAAAGAACAGGAAATTATCTTCTAACAAATTATAGCCATCCAATAATTAAGATACAGGTTATTAATTTGTAGGCTATTTAGCATAAATGTTAAAAACCAAACTCTTCAGGAGAGCCCAAAAGCAAATTATTTATGTATGATTAAACTTGTACTAAATATATTCATTATAATTTCTTTGTTAAACTATATAAAATATTTAATACTATATAGCTGTCATTTAACAAAAAAAAAAATTATTGTTTTGAAGTTTTATCATTTGCAACCTATACTGGAAACAATAAAAAAAAGGCACTTTCCCCAAACTATTTGACTACAAAATGAATAGAAACTAATTTAGATCTTTTTAGTCACTTACAACTTTAAAACAATGAAACCCAATAATAATATTATTATTATTATTATTATTATAATTATAAAAAACAAGAAGAAATTAATAAATAGCCATAATCAACAATAATAACAAATGGCCATTACAAATTTTCTCGGATGTTGCTTTTACCAATTTAGGGAGGCTTATACACAAATATTTATAACATCAGGTTTATCCGCTTTCTAAAAACCGTAAATGTTAATAAAGTAAATTGTGTTCATCATATTGATAACTAAGTCTGCTCTATCTGTATATGCATTATAATGACAAAATGGATTTTGAGAAAAATGTTGTTTAGGTCAAATAGCCTTCCAACAATTGAAATGGACATTTTAACATTAAAATTAATAAAACCCATAACCATACTGTAATACAAGTCTGTTAATTGTGCATCTACAGATTCGCCTTGAGACCACGAATCAGTCTTCCACGATTTTTCCAGATTAACTAAAATAAAAATGATTTAAATTAATAAGACTATTTTATTTTATTCCATTATACATACTTTGTAATCAATATTTGTCAATCCTTTTTTGGCTGCTATATCCAAAATTTCATTTTGTATACTTTCTTGACTAGTGCCGGCTACGTCTATATAATAACAATCTGATGAAGCATAATGAACTGATATGCACCTACGGAAGTCCTGAATACAGAAATAAAAATATATTGAATTAAATGATTATTACCAATATAGACAAAACATTTTGTTTAGTAGATGCTAAATCATCACTAATATTTAATTTATGTTTGTTGATAAGGCATTCCTAATAAATATTAGATTAATTGCCTAATAAAAACCAAAACATTCTGTTTAATACAATTTAATATAATAAACAGTTTCAGTGCAATTAATACTAGTGAATAAATTTACTTGTGATTTATTTATTCCAGATCCATGAATTAGCAAAGGATGAAAAAACACTGTATCGCCTTTTTCCATTTCCAAAAAAACCTTTTTATAGTTCTCATTCTTGTTTGTTTTCATTTCATGATACATTTTATTTATTTCTCCCTAAAAACAAAAAAACAGCAAGTATTTAAATAAAAAAATTGTAAAGATTCAATTTTTGATTTTTAATAATTAGGGCTCAGGACTTTATAAATTTAAAATCCAAAGAAAACAGTTTAAAAACATCAAAAGAACTCTAAAAAAATATTTAAAAAGTAAAAATGACAGAAGGTCCAGCAGGGTTTGAAATTTTCATCCCTAACCACCTAACCATTAAATGCAGTTATCTAACATAATTTTCACTTGTATAATACTAACAGGTTTCTTCAAAAAACTTGTGTTAATAATTTTTGTATTGTATTTTAAAAATTTAAGCCATTTTAAAGGGGGGAGGCTTTTAAAAACATACTACCATTTTTCATTTTTTTTATGTGCATTTTCAAGTCTTTTTTGATATTTTTTATCACTTTTTTTTATGGATTTAATATTAATAATGAACAATAATTTGTAAATAACCAACATCCTTGGGTTCTGGGTAATAATGAGAATGCAATTCGCTAGTATGTGATCCTGGTATCACATACAGACAACCATTATTTTCTGTAACTGAACCACAAGCCGTCCAAGCTGCAACAATCCAATTAGTTGGGCGAAATGGAAAATAATGAAGATCCTAAAAAAAAAAAAATAACCATAAGTTGTATATAAAATTAATAATATAATTTTATAAAATCATTACTATAGTATAATATTAAATAAGTTTATACTTGATGAACTGGATGACGAGAGCTATTGGTGCCAATATCTGGTTGTTTGTTAATAAACATTGAATGCATAGCCATAACATTCGGTCCAATAATACTTTCAACGATGTCCAACATCTAAGTTTAAACCATATAAACCATGATATTAGTAAACACTAAATTTCTAACCTGTTAATCGTATAGTAGGAACCAATGGGTACCATGAATATGGCAAACAATGGATAATTGGGGACAAATCATTCAATACAGTGGCACCGAAGTAATTTAAAAATACTCGGGCAAACAAGGCAATACTGTATTATACTGGTCTTCATTAAATTATATTTTCTACAAGCAATACTCAAATTATGAACATTTCTCACCACTAGCGCCACCTAACCATTTACCACCAAAAAATAAGCCAGAGTTCGGTGCCACTGATTCAATATAAACCGATTTTAAGATTGAGAAAAAAACCTTCGGGTATCTGGCGTACTCATAAAATTCTTCATCATAAAGAATATCTTGTGCCTTAGCATATAAGTATTCGCCTTGATAGTTACATTTCATACGGGAAATATCTTTCATCATAGTAATTTGATTTCGTGGAGCTTTACCATTACACAAATCGACAAAATGGTCACTAAAAAATAATGTAAAATAAACTTCAAAAATAGAAAACATGTTATACAATATTGAAATCACAAAATAGAAAATAATATTACCAACATCTGTCCAATAAATAATCTGGAATCAATTTTGGAATCACTAAATAACCATTGACTTCATAAAAATCCCGCTGTTCTCTTGTTAATGCTAAATCTGATATAGAATACTTATAATCATAAATATTAATTTCATGTTCCTGTAAATCAAAACAAAATATTATAGGTACAATTAATAGTCAATAAAATTACTTCACATTAAAACACTTTTTTCAAAAAAGTAAATAGTTATTAAATTTAATTTATTATACTATAATTATTATTTTGAGAATAAATTTATGTCAAATATAAAGGTTATAATTTTTTTTTTGTTTTATGTCATTTTCTTCTAAAATAGAATCTGTTGCACTATATTATGTCTTATACAATAAGATTAAGTATAGGTTAGGTTAACTTATAGATGTTTTTTTCTTGGAACTTTTTAATATTTGCAGTGTCTCTCTCTGTACCAAATTAACTCAGAAATTGAAGTTGTTTTATAAGCAAATTGAGGTGATAAAAATGGAGTTAAACTTTAATATGAATTTTACCATAATGTTGTGTGTGAGAGTAGTGTTTTTTTTAGTTTTGAACATACTTAAAGACCATTCAAATGAATCTAGGGGCAAAATATTGTATATATATATGTCGCATCCACATAATGAAATCACTCATTTCATGAACAGGACAATACCTATACCTATTATGTACTTTGTGTAATTATTATAAAACAACGTTTTTTATGTTATTTAGCAATAAATAATTATATTATATCATAGTAAACTATACTTTTCTATATTTTATGAAATGGACAATTATATAAATCATACATATATTGTATTTCACAGATGATAGTGTTTCCTATAAGTATCATGAAATAATCATGAAATGAACTATACCTATATTTCTTATATTGTTAAATTAACAAAATAATTAGTTAATTGATTTAAACAATAATGAATAAACTATACCTATATATTTTTCTTCCTTATTATTTATTTTTACATAACAATTGATTACGATATTGACTGTTACATAACATACATTATTATTTTTAAAACAAGTACACTTAACACAAACCATACTTTTCAATAGCAATACAGATAATAATGTTTTACCCGTGATCTATATTATATGAGAGAGATATCAAATTTAATTTTGTAGTAGGTGTGCTTATTTTAAAAATAATATGTTACGTAATAGTCTGTCATAATTAATTGTCATGTAAAAATAAATAACAAGGAAGAAAAATATATAGGTATAGTTTATTAATTATTGTTCAAATCAATCAATTATTTTGTTAATAAAACAATATAGAAATGTATAGTTAACAATTATATAATATAATTATTTATTGGTAAATAACATAACAAATTTTGTTTTATAATAATTACACAAAAGGTATAGGTATTGTCCATTTCATGAAATGGATGTCCACATGATGTATTTTCATCCAAATTCACGATCTGGATAATTTCACTATTTGGATACCCAGTTCATGAAATGAGTGATTTCACTACGTGGATGCGACACATACATAGTGTTGATATCAAGGATATCTGGGTGTGACTTTACTACAAAAATTAGTAAATAAACTAAGAAAAATAACAATTATAAATAAGTTAATACCTATATTATTTCAAAACTTACCATTGTAATTTTTCGTTAAACGTTCAATTAAATGTTTCTATATTTTATAATATTAGTAAGTTTTGATAATTTGATAGTTTTGGTAACTTGGTAGTTTTGATAAATGCAAATATGGAATTAGACTGGCCAGAGAACTCTAGGAAGGTAAAGGTCAGATACCGAAGTCAATCTGTGAAAACAACTGAGTAAATGTTCTTAGACTGATTAGGTATTTCTGACATAAACATCGAAAATAATATATATATCTCGTCAACTAGTTAGCAATTAGTCAAATTAGGTAACTACCTTGAAAATTATTAACATAGGACTTTGAATATATTATTTCTTTGTACAATACTTAATATTTCATTAATAATCATAATATGCTCGAACACGGCCACGGTTGGCGTAAACAACAAATGTAAATAATGTAATAACAAAATAATTACAAAATTATAATACATTTATTCGTCATATGATTTATCTCTTATCAACAAGGACTATCGATAGTATTATCTACAACCATAGATAACATATTATCATAGAATTATATGTACTTAAAACCGTGTCTCCGATAAAACGGTACATAACCTAAAAGGAGGTAAACTGTAAACATCTGTTTAATTCACGGTGTATCAGCTTGCGACCTTATAATAATCTTTGCCGAAAGTACAACACTCTTTTGGCCGTTCGATGCTTTCTTGTTAAATTCAATTGATTTTAATAAATATTCTATACAATTATGGCGTCGTTAGGGAAGATCTTGCGCAGCTCGTTTTTCACAACAAACACTTGCCTACGGACGGTAAACCATTATCCGATATGTGCGGCCAAACTACGATTCAGTCAAACAGTCAACTACTCAACAAATATCATACAGACATTCAAAGTACCCGCGACGGTAAGCACTACTATTATTTAATACGTTTATTTGGAAGGATACCTACGTGCGTGCGTGTGTATGAGCCAGAATTTAACGACAGTTGATTTACGGTTTAATAAAGGTGAGGTGTGGTGGTCGATGGTATTCTGATACTACGACGACGGTCAATCGATTAAACGCTGTCGAAGTAGAAACTAGAGTACTCAAAGTGTGCAAGGCGTATGATAAAGTTACGACCGACAAGGTATGTAATTTTTTTGTTTTTTTTTTTATTATTTCAGACAGTCGTGCGGCATTACAGCGTCAAGCCACCTCTGACTATCGATCAAATTAAAAAACGAGTATTATTGGTATTACAATTATATGACAAGGTCAATCCGGATAAGGTATAAAACACTTCATAGTAATAAGAACTATGGGAATTTTAAAAATTTTTCTTAATGTAAAACAAGCCATCGTCGTCTATAATAGTATGGCAATTTGGAGTCTATTGTTGTATCCATTTTCTATTTTGATTTTACTCAAAATATTATATATTCAATAATTGTACAATTTTAAATTTGTATTGTTTACAGTATTAATGGTTTTTATTACTCGGATAGAGTAAAATAATTTAATCTTTCAATTGATATTCTCCAAAACTATTAGTATATAAAATATACACCATACCTATATTAATTAATTAATATTTTATAAAAAGTGATTCATATGTATGAATTTCAGCTCAGTCTTGAATCTCATTTCATTAACGACCTGGGATTGGATTCCTTAGATCATGTTGAAGTTATTATGGCTATAGAAGATGAGTTTGGTAAGTGTTTATAACTTTCATTTTATTTTATTAAAATTTATAAATACAAATTATTAATACTGTAATTTCTAATTACAATAATTGTATAGGATTTGAAATTCCCGATGAGGATGCCGAAAAATTACACAGACCTAAAGATATCGTACAATACGTTTGTGATCGCGAAGATATTTACGATTGAATCACCTGGGTCTCCGTGATATCTTCATAATATGTATAATGTAGTTTTTCCAAATGTAATAACAACTCACTGGAACAGCAAATTTATTTATAACATTTTTTTTTAAGAATAATAAGTATAGTAATTGTTGAAAGTTTGCTCTGTCAAAATATATTTTTTTTTTATTATAATTATAATTTAGTCTTAAACAATAGTTGCATATTTTTATGGAAAGCCTTTGTAGTATTTAAATGCCCAATAAGCGTCCAGCGCATACAAAGCACTGAGAATAAATCCTATTGTCTGAAAAATCAATAGAAAATGAGTTAATATTTTTTTTAACAAAAAAATCATTAATGCCGTTATTCTTACATAAGCTAATATTATTGATGAAAACAGACTAGTAAAAGGTACAGTCATGAAAATCGGAAACAATAACATGTAGACCGCCATAGTGAGTAACGACGAAGAACTAAAATAACATATCGAAGCAAATATTCCAAACATTATTTCCTGAAATAAAATTAATGGAAATTAAGTGGATGCACTTATATTATTTCTCAATAGGTAATTTTTAGTTATTCATACAAAAAGTGTTGATCTAACGAGTACTTCGGTATTTTTGGATAATAAATATGACACGCTAATAACCGATGTTGTCATTAGACATCCGGCAACAGTTGTTAGGAACGATTCATAAGACGTTCCAAAGGTTGGCATGTACTTTGTTCCGTAAAATAGCATTATACTTTGACAAATAGAACCTAATACCTAAGTGCATAATTAATGATTATGTATAATATTGTTTAAATTATAAAACAATAAACAAATTAAATTACAATAAATATTTTTTGAATTAAATAATATTAAATTTAACTACCTCCATCACTTATCAATGGTATCCTAATATGTTATTTTATTTATACATTTTACTTTGAATAATAATTTAGAAATTTTATTGTTAAAACTTAAATATTAATTATAACAATTAAAATAATGTTTTTAATTAACATGAACAGTATATTTTTCTAAATATTTGTATAACATACAATCTAATTGCGTACAAATCTTTTAGTCGTTAATATGCATTTTTAATTGAAAAAATAATTTATCACATTTTCTGATAATTAAATCTAATATTATTTGTTATTAGATATATAAATATTTATATTTGAACTTTGAACTAATAGCTATGTTTAGTGTAGCAATAAATTAATAAACATAAATCTTTCAATTGAGCATCTATTAGGGGACAAGCAATAGTGATGTGGCACGACACCACTGTTAACATGACAATCCTATTCTACAAAACAAATTAAAAATAGCAATATCAAAATCTAAGTTATTCGAAAATATTTTAAATTGTACAAAACTGAATTATAATTTATTTTTACCTCTAATATTAAATTCTTGGTTTTTAGTCGAGCATAGATTTGTTTTAGTTATTAAATGGTGCTGAAATTTGATTATTTCATCATCGTGATTAAAATGGAATTGATAATAATTTTGTTTACTTGGTACAAAATTATTATGAACTCTCAATATTATTTATATACCTACCAATTCAAATGAATTATTTCAAAGTTCAAAATATGTGAACAAAGCATGAATTAAGTTCATACTTTCAATTGACAATCTTTAATCGGGTCTTTTATTTTAATCCAGAGTCCAAATAATATTAGTTCATGTATTCTAATATGACAACTATATCGGTAATGAAATGACGGATTATGTAAAGTTAATAAAAATCAATAATAAAATTAACTAAGCAAATAGGTGAATTTAAGAAAAAAACAAATAGTCCATGAACTTAATTCAATCCTATGCTTGTAAATATAATTAATAGGTATCTTCCGCGCAAAGTTTGAAAAGTAGTATCAAAACAGAATTTGAGAATATTTTTGTATGCAGTTTGTATTTACAACGTCAATTATACATTATACAACTATTATGATTACATAATAATGTATTATTATTAATTAATCTAAATACTTAGTGAGTACTTACTAGTTGGATAATTTTCAAAATTCCACAGGCTGTTGTGAAGTATTGTATGTTTAAGCACGAACAAAATATACAACACCGAGATGATGATCGTACATAAGGTCTACTTACCATATACATTTTCAATTTGGGAAGAAAAATGCTCTTGTACTTTCTAGTATTTTATAATATTATTTAGATGTTCCTGGGATGTAGTGACAGCTAGACTAATATTATATTATTATTTCCACGTGTGCGAAATAGCTGTACCTCCTGCAGAGACAATTAAATAATATGGTATTTTTAAAAATTCAGAAGAAGTGCCCATCTCTATCACCAGTCTTTTGTTTGTTAGACGTTATGTTCTAATAAATACTTTAATCGATGGCATCAAGAAGGAGTATTCAACAGGAATAAACTATAAAAGGGACATATCAGATATAGTTAGGTATGTAAGTCATACATTTTTTTTTTTTTTTTTTTTTTTTTTGCTTTGTTTAGGTTTTTAGTGAAGTGGAGAATTGAATAGGAATGGATTACTATGATGAGTGCTTCATTTTTTATTTTTGTATCTGTAAACCACTTTTCTACCAAAAAATGACAAAAAGTTTTGGTATCATTTTTAATCTAGTGGATGCATAAGAATGTCGTTTTTGTTCATTCTTGTAGTTTTCTTAATAACTGGAAGAAAATGGGAAAGTTTATAGAAATAACGGTTTCATTTTACTTAGGTATTCGATTATTTTTTTTTTGTTGTCATTCGATTAAAAAAATCGTAGAGATCTGAGATTTTCACAGAGTACTTTTGTTACCCTTCCACAGATGTGAATACATTTTCATGATAATAACTGTCAGTTTTTGAGTTATTAATAGGCATTTTACATTTTCGAATTTTTTAATCACTATTTGGTTTTATGTAGATAAAATTGTTTTAGTTAGATATTCTTTTTTTCAAATTTGAAATCTCCGTGCTTTAGCTACTCCACGAACGTTTTAATAACAAACTAGGTAATAATTTTTTTTGATCGAGTTAATAATTATATTTTAGACATTATTACAGTATAACTTATTATAAAAATCTAATCTAAATTTTATTTTTATAACAGCGGTGTTAAAATTAATAAAAATATAAATATAACAGTAATATATTTCAATATTAGTACAATATTATAACATTTATGTCGATGAACGCAAGCGTACGTATGTTTTTGTTTTTCATTTGAATATAATAATAGTATAAGGCACTTATTAAATATATTTTGTTCAAGGCATTCGAAAAAAATATACAACGAAATAAAAACATGTTCATATTTGGAACGCGCAAAAACGACGATGGCTTAAATGTATACATATTATAACGATTTAAATTAAACATAAAAACGCTCAAAATATTTGAATAATATACGACGACGATCGGTCGGTAATTTTTTGTAGCGCGCCGTTACCTCCGACCGCGTCAAAAAACACTTTTTGGTGCGTAACATTATATAATAAAAATAAGAATTGACAAGCATACGGGGGTGTGGGAGGAGGGGAGGGGGGAGGGCAGGTAGTTAATCTTGATACAATATTATTAACAAAGTCGTGGGGGGATTGGGAAGTACGGACGGCTACGAACGGTTTGTAACGTTTCGCGGATTAAAGATAAGAGGTAAGCTATGTGAGAAAAACTGTGCCCAGAAGTTAATGCGAGGGAAAACAATCGGAGGACGTGTGGAGCGGACGAAGTATTGTATGGCGGGTGATGGATCGGGCGAGAATAAGCGGTGTTACTGCATAGGTACATGACCTATGAGGCGAAGCGGACGGAGAATAATTTGTACAAAAATTGATTGGGTGCAGGCATAGCTGTTGCACGACTATAGATAGGTATTGATGATGACGTATGTGCGCCGTCCGCGTTCGTGTCCGTCCGCGGGGTTTGTCGCACGTCTTTTGCGCAACTTGTACTGCAAATGTTATAATATTATAATTGTTTTCAACGGGTCGTCGCTCATGGTCCTCTGTACGACCGGTAGCCCCAGATCGAACTCAACAAGTAAAACGCAGCCATGATCAGTCCGAGAACCTATACGGGTAACAATCGTACACGAGTTTATTGCGAAAAACAAAATTAAACGCCTACGTTATTCGTTTTCAAAATCCGAATCGGAATACTTACCGAGGCGACGACAAAATGATTGCGAGGATTGCGACTGCTGTGTTCGTTGGCGTCGAGCAACAGGAACACGGACGCCACCAACAATAATATGAATCCGGCACCGTGGTAAATGAACTCCTGTACACAGACGGAAAAAAAAAAAACGCAAAATATTATTGTTATAAATTTTAATACGCCTTCAATGAGTATACAATATCGACACTAGTAGGTGCTTATTCGAGTTTATCTCAGAAAAATATCTAGGGAGGAATACGGAATTATCATAGCAGGTAGGTAGTATCTATTGGGGATTCATGAATTTAGAAATAAAAAAAAAAAAATTCGGGGTCTCCGTGTTGCCCCTCACATTCTCCAATGGACGACCACACTTGATTAGTTCAGATATAGTCCATTTCCAGTCTTAAAATACAATAATAATTTGATACTGCGGTGAAATGTTGCAATTAACTCCTCTGCGTTTAGTGTCTAAAACTTGTCAAATACCTACAAATTTAATCAACTGCCTATATACCCGAAATTCAAGAATATTTAGAAATTCAATAATGGTTATAAAAATAAAAAAAATAATGCGTAAACTTATGAACAATTTGTAGTGAGTTATATTTGTCGATATTAAAATGTAATTGAAAAACTGTTTCAGATTCTGAGTGGAGCGAAGAAGCTTATGGTTTTACAATGATGTTTTTTTTTTTTTTTTTTTGTGAATAACTTTTTCACTAGAAATTTTACTCTGATCTACAAGTGTAACACTTTTTCTGAAAGGATATCTGACTTGAGCGATACTTTAAGGAGGTCATTTTTTTATTTTCTCAGGAATTTTCTTAATGTATCGAAAAAACTAGAAAAAAACGGATGAAAAACAGGAGAACGGGAAAACAGGTACAACATTAAACAAATATTATCAAAGTAAATTTAAATTAAACACTTTAAATAATTTTTTTGTCAACAACAGTTTATCGTTGCTTACAGGTGTACATTAAATTCCTACCTTCCCAACTTTACACCAATAACAGTGACTGTATCTGACGTGCGAAGCGTTGTTTTTTTTTCTAACCGCAATGTCGATATAAATAAAAATATATCGTTTTAATAAACTAACAACAATGATAGATTGGTATAAAATACAGTAATTTATTGTTGCCGGCCACCCGCTGGATTTCAGTGAATTGTGTTGCCTATACTCTGACGCCTTCAAAAAATTGCATAATCCACCAAACCCGCCGGCTGCAGGTTTACATCGTGATTCGTTCATATAGATCGTTTTTAGTAAACGTGACGCGTCTCTATCTTCCAAACGCACGGCACAGCGAATTCGCATTCAGCAGGAATGTGGTTTTGTGGTTTGTGCCGTCAATTTTAATGTTATACAGTTACCGAACTTGAACGTAATCTGCGCAACCATTCGGACGTTTTTCGATGTTTTAATTTTTAACCGAGATATAATCATATTTAAACTGTAACGAGTACTTGCGTATTCTCGTTTGAAAATTAAAATAACGAAACAACCTCCACGGTCGCGCATATAATGTTCATAATATGATATGATAATATCGTTTCTTTTTTCGGTTTTTTTTTTTCGATTGTCTTACAATTCAATATGATATTGTGATATTCAAACTAACGCAAATTCGCTGTTTTACGTTTGTAAGACGGGCATGCGGATGCCGCATAGGTATTCTCACGTCCTCTTAACCGAATCCGAGCCGAATGGTTTTCGCGAAGTCGAATTCTTTCCGAGCGGTTGCGCGCTACCAAATCAAAATCGAACGCGGTCTTGCGATTTCTCCGCCGTACTGTCCCTTAACTCATACGCACGCGCACCACACATTGTTACCAAAACACTTTCACGAGCGCGAACGGTCATTATTACTTTACGCTGAAAATTATTAGGAACGCACTTTTGGTCCATCCTATAATATTATGTCGAATCTATGACGCGATAAGAAGTCGAAAAAAAAAAACCAAATAAATACATAAACGTTGCCGGTCAATAAATACAAGGATTTTAACTCGCCAAAACGTTTTTTTTTTTTCGAATATTAAGGAACATTACGTATACGTAACATTGAACATTGGCCGGCGTTCGTGAAAAAATCACATTTTGTCAAATTTTACAATATAAATGAATATAGTGGGAAATTTTTATGACAGATCTATTGGTGGCACTAAACAATCTATCTATCTCTTTTTTAATTTCACGTATACGTATTTAGGCATAAGTCAATATAGTAAAATCCGTTGGTGCAAAATAGTCTATAGTACATTATTCAGATTTTTCGCCTCTTGAAAAATTATAAAATCTGATTGATATTATTTCCCACGAACACTGTCCCCCCAATTTATAGCATAGGAAAAGTGCGAAAATCCAAAAAAAGTAAGAAATGAGATTTCGAGACGGCCGGTTTAAAACTCCCCAAATTGACGTGGCTCATGTAATAAACCCATCGAATTGGTGTCGTATTTTATGTACTTACGAAATTGGTTTTAGATATGATGGGCCCCGTAGAAATCGACAGCAGACAGGATATCAACAGCAGAAAACTCGTTGTGAAAAACGTAGTGATTACGGCCCAGAAGAAAAGTTGCGCATTGTGTGCGCCATAAACCCAGGAGCTGCATAGATTCTCTTTGTTGAAGATCAACAGTGCCAAGATTATACCTCCCAGGATCTGAAAACAAAAAAACACGTCAAGAATATTATTATAATAATATACTATAGACTTATAAACGCGACTAGACCACCAACATTGGGGATGTTAAAATTACGGACTCGTCAAATGCCCACGGGGGTTATGCCCTCACAATCCCCTTTACACGGCTCTTATAATAAACAACTATGTATTTCATTTACAATTTTACGTCGGTATAAAAATTTTTCATGACTATTTTAACATATGTTTTATACACACATGCATTGTCTGTAGGTAATATATGTATTTTGTTCTGCTTTTCAATTATGAAATACACGGATAAAATAATACGCAGTCGTTACTACGAAAAAGCTTGTTGGGTCTTTTTGTTTGGGGGGGGGGAGAGGGGTTGCTAAAGACCCCATAATACTACCCTAGTTGCGCCCATGTCAAATATAATTGCGTATGCGACGGTCGTACCCGAGTAATACAATGTAGATATAAATTTAGATATATACCAAACGTTTATTTAAACTTTGTATTTTATATTTTTTTTTTTTTTCGAACAAATACATTGATAATCTTTGGGTTATTTCTTCACAGCTGTTATTTTTTGGATTCTAAGTGTAGCGAGGTATATATTTGCTGCTCTAGCACCATGACGTGTGCTCTTTTATTTTACTACTATATTGTTATTATTTTGTTCTGTCAGTAAACAACGTTTAAAGGTCAAAACAAAAAGTCGAACGCGACGTAATAAATTTTTGTTTTTCAATCGCTTAAGGATCGTTTTCGGTTAGAAATGATTTATCGTCCCGTACACATTGTAAATAATATTACGCTGTTTGCGCATATATCCCACCTTCGAAACTTAACACGTACAAAAGTGCCGCACGTCCGCACGCTATTTTTTTTTTTTTTTTTTAAACCAGACGTATAAGAACCGTCACGACGACGCGTGTCCTTGCGGTACACGACACTTTGGAAACGTTTTGAGGAATATAATAAGATATCGAACGTAATATAATAAAAGCAATATGTACATATCGCGACAATGCGGTCGATACGTGCCAATCCGTCGGACACCATATACCGTCCACAAAACGTCGGATTTATTGACAAACGCGACGACGGCGAAACCGCCAAGTTCAAAACGAGCCTTATCGACGGACGTTTTATTTTCGGACAGACGCGTATGCTATTGGCGTTGCGGTATTTTTTTATTTTTTTTTCACACCTAAAGACCAAGGTCCCCGAGGCCGACGCGGTTTTCCGGCTCGCCGATCGCAAATCGCGTTTAATATGTACACACGACTAGTATAATGATAGTAGCTGGACGCCGGGCCATTGTACACGCAATGGACATTGGCATAGCCGAGGGGGCGAGTGCACATGGCGCCACAGATATTCCGGGCGCGAGACTTCGCGGGTATCGATCACGGCGTGCCTTTTTCCATTTCGCGGCATTTCGTCCCCGGACACACGCCCGTCGGGACTCGGCCTAAACGTCATAATTTATGTCGTGCGCGCGCGTTGCCGGATTTTCGAGCTCGTTAAAAACGCCCGTACTATCGTAATATTATCATCGCTCGTTTCGCTTTTTGCGCAGAGATTATCTATTAAAATATCGTGTGCGTTTTGTTAATCGCGTTTCGATATTTAGCGACCTTTTAACGTCGCTCCAGTGAGCGATCGTCGGTAAGAAAATAACAAAAGAGCCGATACTCTGCGGCGGACGCGCATTGTAGACGAGACGTGGGAAATGCAGAGTTATTTGATTTCCATTGGAACGCGACGGTAAATCGGTACAAACGAAACGCAGTTCTGAGCGAAGTCCGTTCGCTTGAACAAATTTCTTTTGAAATGCCGCGATTCGTCGCCCTTATTTTCGGGCACAGAGTAATCATGACCTATATGTCCACTTCCGATTTTCAAATAACGACTTCTGTTGACGTACGAAGTTTTAGTTTAAATGCAATTTTGGTGTTGACATTGTTTACTCCCGTCAACCCGTTGACGAGATATTCTACTTTTGAGTTTGGGCAGGGAGGGGGGGAATGTATGTGGCCATGTGCATAGCTAACTTTCGTTCTCGATTTATCTCGGGATAAAAATTAACAACGATTTCTCTTTGAAATAAAAACCGGCCTTGAAATATTATTGTGTACAGAGTGTGCTTATAGTATATTATTGAGTTTACTAAAACAATCGTTCGGTATGTTCGGCATTCATACGCGGTGACGTCGTCGGCGTTGGAATCCTATGCAGAATTATTGCGTTGGTGACACGAACGGGATATTCAGGGGAGGGATAACGACGTCACGACTCGCTTCGAAATATTGTTTTCAGCGGGCCTCCAAGACCGCGAATATGTATTATTATCGTAATAATTATAATAACACTCGTACATGTCGAAATATAACACACGATGTATAGTATTGACAATATTGCGAGTTTTTTTTTTTTCTTACTTGAAACGTTTTCGAGTGCGCCGTGAAAAAATCCATGGTACGTGTATATAGTGGGTATGTAACAGAATTGGTAAAATACGCTCGGAGTGTTAGAAATTCGAGGGGGTGAGCGAACGGAATTGTCTTTCATTATTTAACGGAACGATACTACTGTCGGGTTAGGCTAGCGGGCCGTTTCCCGGGCGTGACTTTCGATTATAATCGCGTTTATGGAATACGCCTAGCCACCGCCCAAAACAATTATAATAAGTAATAACTAAAAAAGGAACCGCATACTTCATACGATCGGTGGACAGTGGAGAAACCAGGGGGGGCGGGGGGTGGGGTGCAAGAGGGTCTTTAGCATCCCTTGTTTTTTTAGATCCAACTATAACGATTGCAGCGAAATACCAAGTCGATTCAATGTTTTTTTTTTTTAGGTTTTATTTAGAACAGTTATGTTCAAATGTCTATGGATATGGTGATACATTTTATCGAATATCGCAACGGAGAGACTGTTCGCTTGAGAGCTATTTTTAGACAACGGATCGCATAAAAAAGCGCTGTATACAGATATGTGCCGAGACGGACCGATAATAATATGTTATTATTGCCTTCGTGGGTTTGATATAAACTTTTATCGGCCCAATCACGAGATTAATTTAAAATATTTCGTGATTGTCGAGGTACTCGTCTCGTCACTTCGGTCGAGTGTCCGTGTTCACCGATTGCGTTCACTATTTAATCGTAAAATATAAGATCACATATCACAATGTTTTAACTGTGCATAAATATAACTAGACACGTTTCATTTTCGAATGGTTATCGTGATTCAAAAATAATTGAGAAATGGCATTTGGGAGCGTAGGGGCGCAGCCCCCACCGGTTATTTTTCGTTACATAATTTTAACACTCCCAATATTTAGGCTCCAGTTGCGCCTATTTCGGTGTGTGAGACTTGAGTGTTGTAGACGGAAAAGCACTGGACACTTGTACACATATGTATATACGAATATATAGCGACGAAAATCGCCATTGTGATTAAAATATCGATTCTGAGCGAAAGTCGTTTTACTGGTCAGGTATATAAGACGAAAACGAGTACAATCTCTTAATCCGCCGTATAACGGAATCGAATAGTTTAAAAATCCGTTTTATCGAAATGTGTTCTGCGTGTGCAGTGTCGAACATTTCGAATTACAGCAAGAACTTTTTTCAAAATAACATTCAAATATCCTCAATACTGAAATTATCAGAAAATAAATTTTAAACGCGTTATTCAGAATTACTAGCGTGTTAACCGCATACCTGTTTCTGAAGGATTTCGTTTAGGATTCTTTAAGATGTTACGTTCGCAGTTCCCTCAGTGATTGCACAATGACTTCTCCGGTCCGCTCGGAATTTAAAATAACGATAAATCTCGACGCCGCCGTCGGTGAGCCCGAAAACGCGCTGAGGTCATCGTCTGGATGACGTTCACCGTACATTATATACAGTGATAATAATATTATCTTTTTAGTCATTATTACTATTATTACGCGCGCACGTATAGGTACAAAACAATTATTATTCGGCCCCCGGGGCAGACTCGAAATTACACGGTTTTATTTTTTTTTCGTGTCTTTCGTTCCACGACCGGTTGTCATAGCCGTCGTAACAAACGCACCGGCCCGCCTGTAACTCGTGCGATTAATAAAATATTTTTTATGCCCGTTTATGACGAAGACGCGATGACGATATTAGGCCTCGACACGCATTTTGTTGTGTCATCTCGACTGTGCGCCGTGCGTTTACGCACGTCACGCTGGTTCGAAATCTCGTGTTTTATAACCGAATCAGTAACGCGCTTTGGTTCGCAACTGTCGCCCATGGCGACAACATTTTCGTTGCCGTATAATCAACACAAGACGATTTCCATGCGGTTTTGCCAATTCCCATATGGGTTTCGTCGGTTTAATGCGCGCGTGACAAAAATAAACATAATATAAACAATTTTCGAGTATTCGGATTTTTTTTACGATTTATTTATATCACTTACTCGAAGTGTAGCTATATTATAATAATACGCTGATGAATCACGCCGGACTGTGTCGTGAAAAAAAAAAAACAAAAATCAGAAGAACGATCGTCTTCTGTCGACGCCTATTTTCCTCTGACAAAAACGCTTTTAGTAAATTGAATATAAAACACGTCCGGTCGGATTTATCTGTTACATACACGGTGTACTGCCTACAATTTTTTTATTAAAGTAAAATACCGTATACTGCGTTATAAACATTAAATAAACTTGTTAATAACAATGTCACAAAAATATCGTCAAATTTACGTTGAAATTCGATTCGACTTTTATTACTTCAATCCATCGCGTGTAAAACAAATCGAATTCCCGAACGTGGGACTTTATCATTCCAGAAAATGCCAATAGAAGTGTACTAGAAATAGCGGGAAAACTAACGTGGCACGGGGCAGTGACGGATTTACGGGAGGGTGGTCCAGGAGGTCTGGATTGCTCCCCCCCTCCCATTAGACATTGATATAATTTCAATAAAATATCGTCTAAAAAAGAGGCGTCAATTAATAATAGTACCTTTGAAATGTATACTACTTTTTAGGTCATCTCGTGGAAAAATTTTTAAAACCCGCCAATGGCACAATTAGAGTCTATTACTATATTATGATGTTTTCATTCAAATAAGCTGTATATTATCGTCAACCAACAAATAATATGCACACCTTGTATATTATCGTTACTCGGCGGTATTGCGACGGTTTACACGTCAGCAGCGGCGCATATTATTTATATCGTATTATGCTTACGCACATACACATGACACTTGAGGATATAGTTCGCACTCGGAATAATACTGCAAATAAAAATGCATTCGAGTGGACGGCGGTGGCGTATCACACGCATGTATAATATCTCGCGTGATGAGTAAAAATGTTTTAAATTTAGAAGTCGTCGTCATCGGTTATCGATCATCGCGAATAAAAATAATCAATGATTTCCGGCCCGGGCGAAATCGTATAACGCGTATCGTATGTATTTTGATTTTAGCCAAACGAAAATTCGTTCTGACAAACGCTGCAGACGGGCAAAGGCGATGGGGGTAGCTACTGCTATCCCGCCACTTCATATCAGGGTCGACAAATAACAGCTACGCTACCCCAAATGAGTAATTTGTAGAGAAAAAAAAATAATGTATAAATGTCTTAATTTTTTAAATAATATGATCTCAAACTAATGTAATAATAATTATGCGCTTGATCGTTTTACATTTGATTGTTATGTAATTCCAACGAACAGTTGACTAGGGCTTGTCGATCCACCGACCGCTCTATTAGACCACAACTGAATTCAAAAATATTATTTAAGATACATCTCCGTGATTGTGTTTCAAATGACGGCTATAATATCGTTGGACGTATCATTTTATTGCGATCGAAACCAGTGGCTGTTTTTGTCGTATGCCAGCTTTCCCGGGACGCATTGCACGTATACGCGTCTAATCGCCATTCGATATTTGTATTCGTACGACGTATGCAGTTAGTCAACTTGCGGGTTACTGTAATATAGAACGCCAGTGCTACCGCACTTTGGAATATTTCATGGGAAAGGGATGGGTCACTAAAATAATTGTTCAGAGAAATAGCCGCGGGGCTATCGCACGTGACATGAAATCCGATTTTATTTTATTTAAACTTGGTTCGTCGACGACCTCGTCCGATGGAATTTGACATGAAAGTATGTAAAGAGACTGGAAATATTATCAGTTATCACCAAATACAATTTATAGTAATATTGTGTTGTTAGGGATGCTTAATAAGTGTATGATAATATTAAAGAGCAATGTGGCTACGGACTTGTAATGCCATACTTCTTAAATCGTGATAATATTATTATTTTGTTACAACAACGGGCCACGTAGGAAAGACTGATCTATTTTATTCCGTCTCAAACATACGCCACTGAATAACGTGAAATTTGAAATTTTATGTCCGTTTGAAATGTTTATAAATCGCACGTTAAGGTGAGTTTTGCGATATGTTGTAGCGAGTATTGTATATCATAGGTGACACGAAATGAATTTTCGCGTATACATCACTAATCGAAATCGCACGTTTTATTATAACCCGAAATAATCCGTCGTGACCAATTGTAATTTCAAAGATTTTTTTAATGTTTTTCATACGAATAATTTCATTATTATTATTTTTTACTGAGACAAAATGGTTAATGCAAATATTACACTCGTCTTAATGTTGGTACGGTAAAACTATAAATAGGACCAAATGGCTGATATCAGTGATCAAATTTCAAATAATATTCAAAATTTCAAATCACTGTAATTGAGCCATTTGCACTATTTTTTTATTTTTTTTTTATATATGTATTTATGTATACTACCTCATTACTCGGCCAAGTCTCGACATACATAATGAATTATCTAGAATAACACAATAACTTACACGCTATTAAAACCTTATAATCGTTTGTTGATTCAGACTAGGACACGGTAAGTACCTAAATATAATTAGACGCGGTGTTAATTATTTTATTGCGAACGTCCAATTTTACTATTAATAAAGTAATAGTGATTTAGACAAAAAAAAAAACAAAACAAAACAAAACAAAACTCCGACAAATTACACCAGCAATTATTGTATATTTTTAAAATCGTATAAATACGAGGCTTTGTATAAACTACTATATCATAATATTATGACGTTATGCACATTGCATATCGATATTATAGGAGCTGCACATCCACACGTCTATAACACACGATATTATTTTTTTTAATTTCGGTATTATCCGAAATTATATTCGAATAAAAAAATTTAAATTATACATAATATATACTTGTATTTAAATCCAATAAAATTATCGACGGTTTTCAAAATATTTTTAATAATTACAATTTTTTTTTTTTTTAGATTCTGAGTTTAATAATACTGTTGGTACTTACGACTTCAGCCAACTTCAATAAGCCGGGCACAGATTTCACGTAACCTGTGTTCAGAATTATGGCAGACGTCGTGGACGTCGTGGTCCTGGTCACTGTCACCGTATGAGACATTGCTCTGGAATTGTAAAACAAACATAAAACAGATATTGTAAAACAATTGTCGCTGTGGTTCGTGGACGTTTTTTTCGTTAAAAACATTATTAAACATTTTAAAATTAATTATAGAACTGAAAAAAAACATAACATAAATTTTCTATATTTGATCATTTACACTTCAATTTTTATATATTTTTTTTTTTAATGTTTTATAAAAAGTGTTTAATAAAATTGTCTGAAGCCTAACCTAACCTCACAAGTTACAACCCTTGCTCTTAGCTCCCTCTCCCGGCCACCCCACATTAATCCGGCTACACAACACGATACGACTATATCCAATATAACGTTGCATCACCCGATTATTTAAATAGGTATTAAAACAACTAAATTATGTTCCTATAATATCGTGAAAGATAAACAAAATTTAAAAATCAACGTGTGTGGATATAATCAAACAGTGATGGTGTATAATAGTGGAATGAAAACTGATAATATAAATATATAATAACTATTACATACGGTAATTTGTTGTTCGTATACATTATTGTAAGAAGAACGGGCAAGTCCTTGGAATGGTTAGCATCATATTTATGTGATAGAACACAAATAATTAAAATACAGAATACGGTTTCCACTCCTTTCTTGGCAACTTCTGGAATTTCACAGGGAGGTCATTTATCGCCCATCTTGTTTTTAACTTTCATTAACGATTTAAGTACTGTTTTTCAGCACTGTAAATACTTATTATTTGTTGACAACCTAAAGCTATTTATATATTTATGGTCATTAAAAACAGGGAGGATCATTATTATTATACTAACAATATGATCTGAATGGGTTTACACATAAATATCGACATGTGTAAGTAAATTTTCTTTATCGAAATCGAAACCATCTGATAAGTCGAATACGTAAAAAATAATTTGAATTTAGTAAGTGTGAAGACCATTGGGGACTTATATATTTTATTATTTTCGGATATTTCTTTTAATGAACGTTTAAATACTATTTGTGTTAAAACTTACAGAAATTTAGGGTTTTTAAAAAAAAAATTGCGAAAGGTTTAATAAGCTACACTGCTTGAAAACTTTGTTTTATGCATTAGTACGTTCTGGTCTTTAGTTCAGTTGTTTGGAACCCTACGCAACTAGGTCTTACGGATAAAATTTAAAAAGTGCAACGTTTCCTTCGCATGGTAGCACATACAATTGATTTGACCGGTTATCCTACTTCTGAAGTTGAGCGTCAATGCAACATGAATTCTTTGCAATCCACACGAAATTTTCCTGATGTATATTTTTTGTATATGGACTATTGAACGGTTCCATAGACTGTCCTAGTTTATTGGGAAAAATATATTTTAACGTACCTCAAGTAAATACTCGTAATTTTCGTTGTTTCTATATTAAACACCTCACACTAAAAATTTTGTTATACATAGCCCCTTATATCGGACCTTGAACTTCTGCAAAGGTTTAAAAAATTTTGATTTTTTTTTACCGATAGTTCCTTTAAATTAAAACCATCTACCCTTAATCTAGTTTTAAATTTAGTTTCCTTAATTCGTCTCTTTATATATGTAAATATTATGTATACTTTTGTACGAGTCGATTGAAGACGAAGCAGGGGAAGATCTTCAACTGCAAAAAAAGAATAAAAACATTGTTGTCGCTCATTTTCAAAACGTACTAAAAAAAACCGTTTACGAAAATAAGTACTACGGACCAACACCTGATTCATCTTTTCAAAAAGTTTGTAAACCCGGTTTCTAGGATATTTGAGTAGAATTAATAAACATTAAAATAAACAGCACCAGGTGTCCTTGAAATTCGAATAAAAAAACGTTTTTGAACCTAACCTACATAATAATAACATACTACAATAATACCACGCTGTGTTAATATTACACCTACGCGGTTGCGCGCTGCAGCTGTAGGTATACCGTTTTTAAATTGACAATAATATCTACAGCCCACGTTCGCATATATTAGTATTACTATTATTGTCGGCGTATTATTATTCCTACTGGAAACGATTTTCGCCGAGAATATTACGCGCATAGCCCTGAATGTTAAAAAGGTTTAGAAACGATTACGTCATTCCCTTGCAGAACCTACGGCAAAAGAGCAAGTCCGTTTTATACGTGTACATTTATATTAGGCCTAGGTATATGCACGCAAAAATAATATTACAGCGCACGAATCAAAACTATACGCGATGTTTTATTAGATAAAAAAATTGATTGATTTAGTTTCATTCATAGATAATTAAATTATTACGTGTATCTTTTATCTTCACATAGATATTTATCTCTTATCTTTTTCTAGACTTTTTAAACTGTATATTTTTTACTGCAATCGATGTAGATGATTTAACGCAGAATTAGTTATTAAACAGGGTTTTTTTTGGAATATTTTAAGCTTTATTTAAAAAAAAAAAACATTTTTAATTTCCGAGCCCAACTCCATAATAAGAATGATAAATTGCATATCTATTTTTAAATGATAAATTGTTAACTGTTCCCTTTTCCTTCGGTCTAAACTTTAAATAATTATATCTTATAAATAATAAACCTGATATTAGTGTTAAGCATATCAAAATGTTTAGACAATTATTCTCTATTTGAATCTTTGTTCAAAAAAGAAGGTTCCTGTTAGAAAAATAAAAGTATATATTAATTCAAGGTACATGGAATAAGGGTAAAAAATTAAAAATGGTTTGTTTTAAAATAAAGCTTAAAAGAATACATAATTGTTTTAAAAAAATCAAATCAAATTCTCCGTGAAAATAGCGGGTTTATAAAAAAAAAATCACCATATAAGAAGATTCCTTAAGAAAAATGTTTTCAAGTATCGATGTTCCGTTATCAATATAAAAAATATCGGTAGGCGCACTCACTAATTAAAATTTCAATCGACTCTCATGCAAAAATTAAAAATTTTGTCTTGTGCCGCTATACTTATATTATATGTATTTACGCGTCGTCGAATTTTAATTTTAGATTCATATAGGTACTAATCGAATATGGTCATGTTTTTTTTTTTGTACCACAGGTGGTGACTGCGGCGGTTTGTCGAAACGTCGTGTCACGTAAAAATAAATTTCTCTCCGTTTACGTGAGCACGGTGGCGAATAATAACCACACAAACATAATATTATACATTAACACTAGTATTTAATGATATTTATACGCCTCTGTGTAAATTAACAAGGTTTCAAATTAAAATAATATTATTCTAAAACTAGAATAGGTTTTAATTCCCGCCAAACGGCGATTTACTTTGGGACGTTGAACAAAAATCAAAGACCAGAAACTCGGAGAGTAATCGAATACAATTTTTTAAATAAAACCATTCGAACACTAGCGACGTTTGAACGCGCGTTTTAAATACTTATACGAAAATAATCACACGGTGTAATTGTATTTTGAATATTTTTCATACGCGTTTGTTGTGTTCGAAATCGAATATACGATTATGAATACTATTATAATTTTTACAAATAACAAGTTAAAATTGAAATGGATTCAAAATGTTTTACTTATGGGATGATATTATATACATATGTAAAAGAGAAAACTATTTGATAGTATTTATAAACATGTTTCAAAAATATCTGTATTCTTACTCGAATACGTGTTCTAAATAGCTGTTAAAATAATATTTGAATGTGCAATCATAATAGTTTGTATTAAATAACTTAGCAAAGACACTAGTAGTATATATATTATTAGTTATTAGTAGTATAATGAATATTATAGGCAATAAGTTTATTTAATTGAGCGATGACGACACTAAAATATTATTGAAGTTGATTATTCGATCACTATACGAGCACTTTATTGTAATGAATGATGATGATAATAATAACATTAATAGATAGTCGGTCGCCTTGTACTACAGTAGTGAAATGTGACGTAGGAGTAAAAATATAAATGCACATCCCATTTTTTTTTTTTTTTTTTTTTTTGTATTACTATTATTTTAATTTATGATCGGAGCGATGAATATATTACACAACACCTATAATATAGGTATTTTAGGTTTTCTATGTGTCTTTTTTTCTTTTGTATGATGTCTGTAGTCTATACTTAGTTTTGGCTGGAATATATGTTAATACGCACAATTTTTAATTTTTGATCATATTTTCGATTTATATATAATATTTGTATAACAATGCTCATATTCTAAAATCGTTATTGATAATAAAAGATTTAAAGAAGAAAAAAAAATATATTTATGAAACATTTGCCAGCAGCTCACCTTTCACCCATATTTTATCTTTATAATTATAATGAACTATAATGGACTATTATCAGATTATTTTTAGTATACTTACACAAAGAACAATTATAATTATGATTAGTTTTTTAAATTCAATAAAAATGCCTAAAAGAATTCAAAATTAAAGTTTCAAAATCTAAAACTCTTTTGAATACATTTTTGATTTCGGATTCCAAAATCCAAAAATCAGGATATCGGATTCCCTATTCAACAAACCCGAATTTTTCCCACCGCTAATAAATGCATACGTACGTTAGAAAACCATATAACTTTTAGAATATTTTGACCGTTTGAATTTCATTCGTCATGTCTGTGTACCAACGATAACAGTGTCGACGACCATGTGTTATACGTTCTACCTATTAGAAATATTAGAATATTTTTAGCCTGTCGAAAAGTAATTTGCTCGTTTTTTCATTTTGTTATTATGGATGCGTCATAACGCATCAACAGTTATAATCTAACGATACGAAAATACCTACCTAATAAAATATTTAAGACAAACTACTTATTTAACGACATACACCTATAGATACGTATAACAGTCAGGCTCTACTGAAGACTACAGTCGATAACTTAAAATCTGCACGTCATTTTCGATAATTTAAGTTATTTCAATTCGTAATTATAGTAATAATGCCGTTTGGGTGATAAAATTCGGTATTTTCAAGCGATAGTATTTAAGTAACTCGGAGACTCGGTATTTGTTTACCGTTTATAATGCACGTTTGGATTAGTACCTGTTTCTAGTATACGAGGGCGTACCCAAAAAAAACCGAACTATTTTTGTACAAAGTTATTTATTTAATTTTTTTATAAAAAACATTTAATCTCCTTCAAAGTACCATTTGTCTGATGGTTCCGAAAAAACTATACACCTCCAAATATCATCCAAATTTCATTATCATCCAATACTATCCAAATTATAAAATAAAGATATTTTCTTTTTACGAATCACAACACATAAGCAGCACGGCAATACTGATGTAGACCGATTTCCTCTTGGTCGGTCCGATCTAGAGAGCCTATATGATAATAGAGTGGCCACCGGTTCTTATCAAGTTTTCACGGACCGCCATTAAAGGGTCCACGTTGAGATCAAGTAAAAATGAAATAAATTGTCATCGTCGTTGTAATTATAACGCTTATAGAAAACCGAAAAAAATAAAAATCTAAAATTCCAGGTTTTTTGTGTTGAGACCGTGCCAATTTAAATTTTTTTTTCAGTAGGCACTTTTTATGGTTTTGCCCGGGAAGGTCTTTCGGTAGATACTATTCTACTCAGAATGGGGAGTCACGGCCCATAAAATACCATTATTGCATCAAGATTTGTTCTTATAATTAAAAAAAAATCTAGCTTTGAAATATTATACAAAGATCATAATAATAAACGTGTATATTCTTTCTTATCTATACTTATTTGTGTGGAGATTAAATATTTTCATACATTATTAAGTACTGTAAAACAGCACGATAATTCAGTTATGTTAATTAACCGGTATGTGGCCAATCATACTGCTTTATCGAATTGGTCACTATTTTCTTATATATTATAGCAAGGGTGGCCACAACGAGGCTCGTGAACTCCATGCGGCTCTTGAATCAGTCTCGTGCGGCTCTTGAACCAAGCCTGAACTAAAATTAATAAATATAATTTCGTTAGAAAATGATTTTATTGCCGTTGGTTTCGTTATCATTACAGTCGTTTTTATAGATTGGCATAGCGACCAATTAAATTCATTAAATCTAAATATCGATCTGATATCTGAACTAACTGATGAACAAGTGAACTTGTGTGAACTACGCTCACAAATTATCCGTCAGATTTCAAAAATCTTGCAGAAAAAATGAACACTCAAAAGAGCACTTCTCATTTGATTTAAAATGAAAAATGTGTCTTCATTTTATAAACATCGCTTTACAATGTTACTCGCCTAGAATGAGCTTTATGAATTTGCGGTTCTCGAAATTAAGGTTAGTAGCCACCCCTGTATTATATAGGATCTCAATTATTGAATTCAACGTGTAGTGTATACGTGGGTTCGGTCAGGCAACGTTTTTTATATAAAAATTTTAATCAAAGGAAAGACTAAAATGACGAAATTCGAAACAATGGCCACTACACTTCACGCTGAATCCAAATCTGTTTTTTGAAATTCTTATCACTTAATTACTGCTACGTAAATCGGACCGACTGAAAGAAAATCAGCCCGAATCGCTGCGACGAATAAACATATTATGTTGTGTTAGACAATTATTAATAAAAAAAATATCGGTATCCAATCCCTTTAATTTAAATATATTTGAATTAAAATACATAGTGTTGTTAGGTGTATGATGTATATGGATACAGACGACTTACCTATTGTGCTGCATGCTGACGGATAGTGTTAATGGTGTTAGTAACTAAATACTGTTAATAATCTCTTACTATCGGCGAAGCGATCTTTGTTAGTTCTTAAAATTTACTGAAAAAAAAAACAGCAAGAAATATTGTTAATCAATAACCATAAAATGACTACTCGAGTTTATACACGTGTGAATCCTGACGTTGTCAAGATCTAACTGAAACGAAGAATCGATAATTCAATCCAATAGTCAAAATCAATTAGATTAAAAAAAAAAATTAAATAATAAAAAAACATTTAGTATATTTTTGTTTATCACTGAACAAATAATTCAACCAACAAAAATATGATAATAACAGTATTAACAATAAAATTATGATAAACGAATATTATATTATAAATAATATTATTATATTTGTACGACAATCGGGCAGACAAGAATACGATTTGTGTACATAATATAATATAAACCTGCCTATGTGTGATGCTCGTTAAAATAAATAACACGTTTGGCTTTCGTTGGTTTGTTTTTTGTTTCGGATAAATAACATACCGATGAGTAATATACTTAATATACCTGATATCTCTAAACATATAACGCAGTGGTCCAGCAATTTATTATAGGTATGGTATTGTAATCAGACAATTGATACGAGAATTTATTACATACCTACTGGCAATAACCAATAATTTTAATTAACTGATTAATTGGTTCGACATATTATAATATAGAATATCAATGACTTTTTTTGAGCCTCAGATTATTGGGTGCAGATCCAAAACGAAAGTATGCCACCGTAGATTTAAGGGGATGGGTCCGTAAGGCTATTTTAATAAGATTATAATGTAGGTTATTGTGAATAAGAAAAAAACAAATCAATTATATAGTTCGTTGAAAAAAAATATCAGCCCGCCCTTTAGTTAAAATCGATTGTTGTTTAATATACGGATATGTTGGTGTAACTATACAGTGTGCCCCACAAAGATTTACCAATCGTAATATCTCCGGAAATAATAAAGATACTTAATCAAATTATATTATTATTTTTTTTTTTATATTACTCAAAGGAATAAGGACTACGGATATTTATGTTTTAATCAATTGTTTATGTTTTGGTCGAAATCTTAAAAAAATAACTTTTATTTTATTATTTTTGAAAAATTTGAATATAGCCATTTTATAAAGTTTATATTCTTCTGAACATTTTGACGTATCAACGTTATTTTCATAAAATAATGAAGTTTTTTAATAATTGTTTAAAGCTCCGAGAAAAAAGTGAACAGTCAGTTAACCAAAATAATAATAATCACTTAGCTAATGTAATTACAGCCTGCTGCATAATTATCAGTACTTTTTACTTGGAACTTTAACAAATTATTAAAAAACACGAATTTAATGAAAATAAAGTCGATACGTCAAAATGTTCAAAAAAATAAAGTTTATAAAATGGCTGAAAAAATGTTTCAAAAATAAAAAATTATAATCCCGAATTATGTATGAAAAATTGTACGTTTAACCGCCCGATCTTACATAAAATTTCGCTTTAGGTATATATTATACTCTATAGTCAATATATTTTCTTTTCAAATCGAAAGGCAAGAGTGTTTTTATACACAATGTCGATTCGGAAATGAATTCTCTATAAATGTATTGCAGCTGCAGAGGCGTGTTTCGGATATAGGTATGCATTTCGACATCGCTAAAAACCAGTTATTTGAACCGATACTAGTGTAATCTCGCATACCTGCCAGTGGTGCAAGTGACGAAAGGCGAAAGTTCTTCTAAAATAATATCGTAGTACCAATAATAATATACAAACGATTTAAGGACGTACCGATCATTCGATTATTCGGTGACTGGTCAAATCTTATATCTCTAATTAAAAAATATCTCTTAAAAAAAAAAAATCTCCAGTATTGATATATTTTTGTAATTTTGTCATTGAATAGTATAAATTTTAATATTAGTACGCATATATTTTTGTATTTTTTGAGATATTTTCAATATTAATTGAGTAATTAATTTATACTAAAATTTAATACAAAATTAATTTAAACACCAAAACTGTTCTAGAAATGTCTTCAATTTTATATAAACGTTAATCACTCACGACTAGAAAACCGCTCTAACCCACTAATTTCAGAACTTGATTCAGACTCAATCCCAGGCAATTCCCAAAGGAGCCTTAAGAAAATATGGTGTTATGAACTTAACTTTTAATCCAAATATAAATTAATGTATAAAAAGAAATTATATAGTATACAATTTTAAATCAATATAAAGTGTAGCCGCTGGGTTACTCCTTTTATCAAGTAACTCGCATGCTAATTATTATTGTTATTATAGCACATATTCTCATTGTAAAATAATAAGTTTACAGATTGTAAGATTGTATATTTAAAAGAAGAAAAAAACATATTATGGGTTACAATTTTATTTAAAATTAAATTGTTTAAAGATATTTCCACTGGAGATATTTTGACCTGGACCGATTATTCGCGTTCTAACATTAATATGTTATATTATTATACTCGTATACAATCTGAAAAAAAAAACTGGGTCAAAAATGATGTGGATACGCGCTAAATTTAGAAGTCGTCCACCCGGAATGTATGTATACATCATAAGGGCTATATATTTCAATTTTAATATTTTTAACGTGCGGTTCGTATAATAATATAATACTTGTGGTGCAGCAACAGTATATATATAAGTTTTGTGCGAAATGGCCGTTATCCAAGACGAAAGTTTTGGAATTAGTCCATGTTTATACCGCGCAAAACGAATTTGCCGAGAGATCCTTTTTTTTTTAAAAAAAACCTATATCTATCGAATTTAAATTATTAGTTCCGACAACAAAAACAACAACAAAAATTATAATAACAAACTACAAAAAAGAACTGGAGCATACTTTTGGCACCGCGGAGATTAAAAATCTCCTGGATAAAATGGGTGTCGAATGAAGAAGCGTACATAGGATAAACGACAATATGTATCTATACATGGATATTAATCGTGGAAAAAAAGACAGATATGGATAGGATATGGATCAAAGAAAATTAATATTATTCCATAATAATAATATATTGCAGACAAAAATGATAAATTGTTGAAATCAAAAAACAATTTCGAGCGGAGCTGCTAGGTAAACTGATTAATACACCTAGTGTTAAATCCTCTTCAGATGGTTAAAATATTAGAAATGTATCAAAATTTAGTAATTAGTTAGAAAAAAGGTTCAGGCTATCAAATATTAAATCAAAATAACAATAATTTATAAGTTAAGTGATTGTAATTTAACAACTTTAAACCACGCCACTACGCATGAAAAAATCAATTGTTCGTGTTATGTGCGATAATAACGACATTTTTTATCGATTCAGTAATCACATATTTGAATAAACTCTTCTAGGATTTTAGGAATGGTTTTGAAACATTTGATGTTTGACATACGACAAGTATTTGGGAAAATTTTTGACCGTGTAAACCAGATTTTTTTGTTCGTAGCCAACGTAACTCTATATAAGTCAATAAAAACAAAACTGACCGTCAATAAACTGTCGGGAACTTTGAAATTCATATTTAGGTTAAATTAGGTTATGCTAGAATTCTTTACAGGGTCTGAATTATAGAAATAGAGAATAGAGATCCAGTGCACTGCATGAAATTCTAATAATTTTTTTGGCTTATCGGCCTATTTCCCAGTGTCTCATAATTCGGCGTAATAATTGTTTATTTTACAATACAATATTTCTATTTATTGATTTATAGTGTAGAACAGGGATTTTAAGAATTTAGGCGCCTTGTGCTCGTGCACCGCATGCACTTTTAGTATAGTTATCCAGTATATCCAGTAGACGAATCCTAGATTCACATGGTTTTTGGACAAATACCCATAATGTACTTGCTTAAATAGAGCGTTGATTCTTTACCGATAATTCGTATTGCAATACTATATGTAAGTAGTCGTACTGTCCTACGGTGTACGCATCGTTTAAGTATTATGTTTACTACACCGTGTTTTGTGCCTTTATGGTGAACACATATCAAGTTGAAAATTAATTAAAATATAAAATAAATGCAAGTCTATGCACATTTTATATAAAAAAAAAAAAAAAAAAAACATTGCTATATAATAGTAGGTATCTAATATCAGTATTATTTTGTTATTCGATATTCATTACAAACGACTACGCCTATAAAAAAAAAACTTCAATAAAATTGGCATTCATCACTGCTATTATATTAAATAGGCACATTTATATTATTATCCGGTCGGAGGAAATCTAATTATCGTATTATACGAGGAGTACCTATGTAACACAATGCCTATTTTTGAATGCGCATCAAACTATTCAACGTAATTAATCTTTTTATTTATTTCGGTTTTGAATGAAATAACGACGCGGTGCGGTACCTGTGGTATATTACTATACGAGTTTAGGTCACGGTAATAAAGTTTAAATTGAAAAAAAAAAACAAAACGAAAGAACATCGCGGCGCTGTGAATTTTCGACAGAAAAAACCCCCCGTGTATATCAATATTCACGTCTGTCGTAATGTACACAAAAAAAAAAGGTGCATAAAAACTAAACTGTTTTAAGTATTAGTGATACGCAAAAATTTTTAATAAATAATATAGCTCTTTTGTTTAGAAAAAAAAAAAGCGGTGCTCTCGAAAATTTTCTCCTCTTTAAATTCTGTCACCTGTGTTTAAACATCGATTTCAACCCACTAGTCGTAGTGTTTCAGTTCTATTTTATGCATTTCGGCTATAATATTATGTTGCCCGTTAGTTGGACCGAGATAGTAAATACGCGTATATCTTATAATTCCCCTTAACGCCTATTCTATTGGGTTAGGTTAAAAATGCAGCAGCAGTATAAATAATACATATTCTTGATTCATTTCAAATAATATTTGTTTTATATTCCAATATACGTAACCTATATGTAATATTGTCCTAACCTATATAAACTGCAGTAACTCGGAACCTAGAAATAATGGCATTTCGTACTGCGCCTTCCTACTACCCTTTAAACGAGAACCGTTACAACATATTACTCTACCTACTTACAAAGAAAAAGAACATCGAAACTTATCAATATAGAAAACATTTTCATTCGAATCTCTAATCTCAGTACTTTCTATAAAACTCACGGAAATTTAGAAACGCGTGTAATTTTTAATTGAAAATTAATTCTGAGCGCAATAATATTCGTGTAAATTATCGCTACTGTTTATTAACTGCTATTTTAAGAGAGCGTTTCGTGGCATGCACTCAACAGTTACCGGTTACTCGGGGGGAGGGGAAGGGAGGAGATGCAACTCGTGTGCATCGGACGGCCGAGACCGAAACGTTTACCGGACGATCAACAGGGTGAATAAATGAATGGCGACCGAAGTCAAACGGAAATTTAAAAGAAAAAAAACAAATTGGTCGCCATCGTTTCGTTATAATCTGTAAGCGACCAAACTAAAAACGATATCGAGTGTACAAATCCATAACCAGAAAATGTATTCGATTTCAGAAGGTTGCAGTAACTTACTTTTTTTTTTTTTTTTTTAATTACTCGAAAAAAATATTTTTTAGCAGTATTATTTGCATATTTTTAACTATTATTCACTAAAGTATTATTATTATTTTAATATTAATCTACATGATAAATCAATTTTATAAATATTATAACGTTCATGTAAAATACACGGGGAAAAGGATAACTTAGGATGTAATATAAAAGTAATTTGAAAGTTACAAAGTTATACTGATTTGTGTAACTTTGAACAAATAGTGTACTTTTTTTTATTCGAGTATATTTCTATATTAATTGGTTACGCTTATAGGCGTATAATCTTACCCAAAGATGATCGAGTTGATCATTAAGTTAACAGGAAATGTATTTAATTCGTTAGAATACTTATAAAACGCAAATAGACTTAACTTCGTAGCGTTTCAATAAAGTTCCACTATTTGTTTAATTCTTTTTGTAATACAATATAATACTGTTGGGCTATTAAAGTACTATAATTATATCTGTCAACTGTAATACGCATTTATCGCGTCAAGTACAATCGCAGCGTCTACAACTATAATGTCAACGCGCATTCGAATTTCGGAAAAAAAATCCAGTCCGGTTGGTCGTTTCGTTGGTTCAACCCACAACAGTTGACTTACACGCGAAATGTTTGAGCTATCAAACGAGTCGTAGACATACAATATGATAACTGACAAAGGAAAATCAACGATAAAAAAAAAATAATGGTCGACTATAATAATCGTTTTTGTTTTTTTTTGCTTAAAACCGACCTTATCACTATTCCCATATTATACCGACATGGTTATAACATGCCCGGTTATCGGTGTCTTACCTGGTGTTTCTGTGTAAAGAAGCGCGCGACGGACACGGGCGATTTTAAATATTGGTATTTTACCGGACACTCGGATACTCTGTCGCTGTTTGTAGACAAACCGCGCGCACACTGTATGCTATACAATACGTGACGTGTTTTATGAGTTTTTTTTTATCCCCGCGAATAACGAACGACGTTTGCGCGCCAAATGGGATTCGGCAAAAAAAAACAATAATAATAATAACGATAATAATTTGTGTCTTATTGTTTATCGATCGCCAGCAGAGACAGCAATCGGCCGACGGACGGGTTCGCGAACTTACGCGATTGACGTCCAAACGTTTACTGTACGAAAGCGATGCGAGCGAAACAGCGCCGTGTCGTGTGTGTGAGGCGCGGGAGGCGACGCGTAGCGGCGTGTTTATGATATCGCCGTCGTCGTAAAAATCGTTCATTTTCCTTTACGAACGCGCGGACACGCGTAACGCCGTGCGTTTTATACGTACGTACGCCCACGGGCCTTTGGACCCGCGGGTGTACGGTGTCGTATGGCATAGAGGCGAGACCCGTCACACCGAGAACGAGAACCGTCCGGCTCGTCGCCGCCGGTGGATAAAAAAAAAAAAAAAAAATGAAAAGACCACAGAGACATCAAAAGAAGGAGAAAGTTCCCCGGATCACCTGCGCCACGTGTATGTTTACAATATACGCAATTAATTATCTCCGGACTGTTACGTTGTACGTTATATTGCTTGTATAGTTTGTTGTAGACCCGCCGAAGCCGGACGAGCGGTCCGGTATACAACAACTCACGGCTCACAACTCTAAATAATTTTCAAATTTATCGATATCGTATGTCAATAAATTAACAGTATTCGATCAACTGCTTGTATTATTAGAGCGGCCGATTTCACGAATCATTAAACGTAAGATGATAACGCGAGCAAATAGAAAAACAATTTGTCCGTGTCCTATATAGTAGGCGGGTGTTATACTGGTATAGAGATGCGATATAAATCCGAATTTGCCGAAATTCAGCAATCCAAATTTTCGGATAATTTTCCCACCACTATTACATACAGGTACCTACGCTATTAAGTCGCATTATTTAATTTTTTTATCGTATACGGTAAACCTGCCTCTACTCTGTTGGTTGTTTAATTAATAATTGGGATGGGGAAAGGCGTCTTGAGCACTGTAAATTCAGCTGCTCCCTCTCCTCCATATCAAATCCTTATCAAATAATTATTCGATGCACATAATCAATATTACGGAGGCTGTAGTTTTAAGATACCATAACACGTCACTTCTAAAACAATGGAAGGTTAGGTAAATATTTCATAGAATCACGTGTGTATTATTATATAGTGCTGAGTATCTAAACTCTGTTTTGTTAACTCTAAGTAATTTGGTAACTCTTGTAATTTCTAATTCTAAACTCTGTGTTCGGAAATACCGAAATAAAATAATGTGTATTGGAGTCAAAGGCAGATTTTGTAGGGGGGAGGCAACGTGATGATCGTCATTTTGCAGTGTGAATAGTATATTATATAGGTATACACAACAGACATAATGCAGTGCAATGTTTTTTCCTGTTAACCACGAAGACAACACAGAGACGTTATCATTATTTCATATTCAAGAAAATCATATAGGTTAACTTTACATATTTCAATAATTTATTAGTAGTAAAAAAAAAAAAAAAAATGTTACCATCCGCTTCCCTCGGTCGATTTTATAATATGTATAATTGTGTTCGTCTTTGAGCTTCAGATCAAATCATAAGAAAATATTTCATTAATATATAATTTAAAAAAAAAATCATTTTAAAGGCAATAAAATAATAGAAATCATTCCGCTCTTTATTTCTACTGCCACAGCGAGCTTTTGAATGCGCACCACGAATAGGTAAATGTCACACCAAATTCATCCCCACTATCATATTATTAAGCGCAAAACTATAATTACCTATGTACGGTTTTTTAAAGGAGCCGATATTTTTAGTAAATTATATTAGAATTATAATAATATTCTCCGTGAATGGAGAAAAATATCTGTTTACAAAAAAAATTAATGGAGAGATACAATTAAAGTTCTCCCCTTTATCCTATATATTTTAGTTGAACCTATTTGACCTTCACTACAGCAGAAAAAATTTGAGAGAAAAAAAACATCAATAAGTGCTATTCATCATTTCAAACAGATGTTCGTCATATAACTTCAAATAATAATATATAAAACGTCGTAAAAACGTCGACGCGATTTTGAAAATCGATATGATCGTATACATCGCACTTAAAGTTAAAATCACTATACTGATTACTACCGACGAAAGACTTGTGGTTTATTTTTGGCGAACCGAGCGTGTCGGTATAATAATATCGACAGCAATCGTATTTATCATTTTCATTTGACGTCATCGATCGAATTTAAAAACCGTTTCTCCTCCATGAATTTAAAAAAGCATATTTACTGCACATTTAATGGCGTGACTTGTGGTACGACTATGCGTCAGGCTTAAAAAAACACAATTTAATAAAAAGAAAATATTACAAATTATGTAGAATTTTGTTTATTACTATTCTATTTGTGATTATTATATGGTATATGTATACGATCACGTATGTCTACTAAATTAAAATAGACACATAGGATTAAGGAGTAGGAGTAGGATTGGCAGCCCGAATTGTCCACCTCTTCATCGACTATATAGACCACGCCAACTTTCTTATCATCTTTTATTTATTATCACTTCTTATCAATGTTATCATTACCACGGTCTTATCAGCTGTTTTGTATATCTATGTATATTGCCAAGTTCTTACCAGCTGTTATAAACGTCCTATAAACATATGAATAAAAACATTATAATTATATAATAAATAATATAAGAATTTAAATGATTTACATACCTGTACAAATTGGTTTGCAAAAATGTATTATTTCAATTTCCAGTGACACAGCACACAGGTTTTCATTGTAGGAAGTACAGTGTTTAAACGTCGTCTTATTGACCAGTTTCTGCATTCTCTTCTCGCTGGATACCAGCTTAGTGTCTATCCTCCTTCTCATTGATTCCATAGTTTTACCTAGAAATCATAATAATATAATAACAGATAAGATTTAATAATAATAATAATAACTTACCAAAAACAGCATTGTTCATTAATTTATAGAAATCCTTCTCAAATTCATTAGTCGCCTTCTTCCTCATCTCTGTGTTTAAATCAATATATTTCTTCAGCCACGGTGACTGGTTAAATTGCTTTACTCTGTGCACCTGTAACATAAATAATACAAAAATATAATAAATATATAATTAATTAAATAAAAATAAAAATGTTTACCTTTTTAACAATCAGTCCGTTTGCTTTTGCTTGTTTCAAATTCCTGTAGTGTATAATGTAGTTAGTCTTCGCCTTCAATGTGGCCATCAGTTTCTTCACCTTCGAGCCTGGTGGTATTCCGTTATTCGGTAAGAATGGTAAGTCGTTTTGTTTTACGTGCAGATGTTCCGGGTACGTGATATCGACTTCGTATACCCGTCCTATGGGTGAAGTATCGTTTAATTCTTCCAAACCGTCTAATGTGGGCTCCATCCACTTAAATCCACCGTAGGACATATATTGACTCATCGCCCACCCGTACAAATTGTTACCTAAAATAAACAGAAAAAAAATTGTTTATATTTACAATCCTGGTATATTATCCATGAATCTTCTTTCGTCTCATCATAGTCTTCCATCGTATAATTGTTCGCCTTCTCCGGATAATTGTTCGCCTTCCCGTATCGTTAACTCGCCTGCTCCAATCCACCGCGTAAACCTATAAAATAAAATTAATATGATAATAATTTTGTAAAATAATATAAAACGTTTTACCTCTTTCGATCATCAGCAACAAATCGTAGTCCGTTAGGAGTTCTAGTTTCATCTATGTACATTTCAGCATGCAGTCGAAGCTGAATCCGGGTGCCGTGTAATAGAATGCCGGGTCTAGGGTATACGTCTTCATAGATATATCGCGGAAATTTTCGACAAAATCCGCCAACAACATCACGTCAATCTTCAAATAAAGGTCGCTGTATTCCCCTAACGTCCTACAATCAAAGTAGTCCCATACTGTTTTCGCTTGTCGATATTCGTCGTCGTCGATGTTCTTTTTCGTCAGCATGCTGTAAAAGTCTTCTTTCCTCGGTAATACATCTTCTTCCAACTTGTCCCAACTCTCCGTATACTCGTACAGATATGCGTCCTTCCGCATCACTAAGGGTATATCCTCTTTTTTAAATATTTTTTTTGTCTCCCGAAACTTCTCGAATTCGACTGGGTTGAGGTATGAGGCGAGAGACGCGAGACTCGTAAATTGATAAATCGTACGATAAACCCCACCTTCCTTTTTCAAAGTATTTTTTTATCCAAGAGACATTATCACATACATCGTTATCGTATACCTATGATTATTATTTTATAAGTATTACGATATTTTTAGTCTTCGCGCGCTCGCGTTACCCCGCCATACCCCGCCGACACTATCCATACCCGCTGCTAAATATTACCTATACAACAAAATATTATTATGTATAATTATTACAAAAATGAAATGGTTATTAGCAACGTTGATGGTCTGTAAATTCCTGCGAACTAATTTTTCCCCGTCCGCCTATTAGGCGACCGCCGGCCAAAGCATTTGGTTTTTTCAGAATATAATTTCAGAAGGTAAAGATTTCGATAACAGGCGAAAATAGCACGGAAAAGGTAATGGACGCAAAACGCACGGGCGCAAAGTGACCTCTCCGTGTAGAGGGCCTTATCTAACCTATCGGGGAGTAGGGACGCTCGGCAGTGGGAGAGCGCGTGTACTGTGTAATAGTCGTCACTTACAGATGGCACGGCGTTCTTTTTATACCTTTATGTACATATTTGCAAACAATTTTTATCAACACAAGATTAATAACTTGACTGTCATAATTATAATTAGAGACCGGATTTATATGTTCTTAAAACCCACAAAAAAGCAATTGAAAACGTTTTTTGGTGTTGCGAAAATCTCTTAAAAATTTATAAAAACGCAAAACTAATAAAAGGAGTTTAATGTAATGATAAATAATAATTTTAAAATAATTTAAAAAATATACCCAACACGAACAGAAATAATAATTACTGTACAGAAAAACAGAAAATAATAAAATAAACGGATTTTGTTATTATTTAGTGACTAATTACATAGAGGATAATAGTAAGTTATAAAACCAAAGAATGACTTCCTCCGTAAGCAACTAGATCTAAAATGCAACAAAAAATGCATTTTCTTATATAGCACCACGGAAACAACTTTTCGGGTTTGAATATAAAAAAAATTCGAGAAGCCGATATTGATAAACGAGTAGAAAGTTCCATAACATTTTTATGGAAATCTACAGAAATTCAACAATCAAATTCAAATGTTATTATTTATTATATATTAATAACTAGACGCCCAATAATCACGGACGGTGTAACGTTAATGAAACATAATCCGTTCTGGATTCTAATTCGATCTCAATTCGTGATTCACGATCGTAACGAACATAACAATCAGCTCTGGACCCAGA